AAATTAAAATAATCAATAAACGCAACGCAAAATGTACTACAGTTTTTAAAATATATTAAAATTGATAGACCTGATGATGATGTGATACACATTGAAACATGTCGTCGATACAAAAAATGTAACAAGATGCAGTGTCTACTGAGAATGTTATAATTTTAGATAATTTTAAACAACATTATTTTAAGTTTGTGTATAGACGGAAAATAAAAATATTGTATTAATGAATTAATGTTTTTGCCACTGATGATGACCTCTTGAAGTCGAAACGTGTTTGGCACTAAGTGTTTTTCAAAGTATAAACGGTTTTGTTTGTATGCATGATTTTATGTATTTTAAATAAATATTCAACACTGTAAAGTATGCAATGTTTATTATTTTTTAGATCAGAATTTGGAATGAAACTTATCTTCAGGGCAAGACAGCTAAAAGAATTAAAAAAAAACAGTAAATCATATAGGAACACATTCTCACTCTGACATTTCTGGTCAAGAAATTGAAAGATTAATGTTGTACAAACACATCCACATGAATTTTCAATAATATCAGAAAACATTTGTGCCCAAAGCCATTAATTATAAAATTTTCAATGACACCATTCTATGAATATCTTTATGCGCAGAGTTCAACATCGAACTCACCCGATAAACAATTCAGATATTCATCAATGATGGAGATGAACACAGAGCAGCGATGCCTCTCCAGTAACTGGAGAATCGATATCTGAGCGGCCGCACACAAGTTCAGCTTCGACGACAGAGCAGACGAAGACATGAGGTAGAAAAGTCTACCCAGAAGCCACGTAGTGAAAGCTACAGACAAAAGCAGTTCACATGTTCACACACAGAAAAGTCTCACTATTAAGCCCATAAAATGGAGTGCACATTTATAGCAATATCACAAACAAACAAAAAAATATTTTGACTACTTAATGGTAGAAATGTTAACTGGTAACTGGGGTATTGAAAACAAGCAGGCAGATAACGTGGGAAGCCACCTTGCTGTGGTGAAACTTTCTTCTTTATACATTTCATGCTCCTATGTGGACCATAGGGGCCTCCTTTCAGAGATTTATTTAATCTATTTAGACATTTGGTAGAACTGCTTGGACGAGTGATCAGCCCATCGCAAGGCCTCCACCTGTACACAGGACAACACAACACAGAAAGACGCAGACAAACATCTGTGCCTTCAGTCGGATTCGAACCCAAGGTCCCAATGTCCAAGTGCACGAGGCCCACGCCTCTCATCGCGTGGTGAAACTGATTTCTGATAGATAATCCAAAACTGATGTTCTGTATCAGCAGACATGAGATTAAAACCCCACACAGGACTGATATAGAATTTCTGGAAAGTGGGCCAATCAAAGAGGAAGGATGAGGAGCAAAGGTCTCGACCAATAGGGAGTCTCCAAGCTCAGTCATGATAGCGGCAGCATGTTTCTCCAAAACAGAGGAATCTGGTTACACGTCTACATGGTGCCAAAACCAAAAACATCATCATCCTCATTGCAGTGAAAACCCTAACCCTCATATCCAATTTTCTGTTCACACTTCAGTTTCTTTTATATGATATTTCATGGCTTGAATTTCCATGTCTATGTTTTATGTTACACACCTGTGTACTGCTCTGCAGTTTGTTGGTCTCTTTTAGTCGGTATAAACACATCCTTGTATCCATTACAAATATTGATAACAGAGTCCAGTAGACCACTCACACTAGTTACAGAACTGTCGAGATCATTGTAGACGGATTTCATCGGCATATGCATCATTACCCACACTTTTATGCATGCCGGTGGTCCAGGTTTAGTAATCCAGCAATCCCTACACACAAACACAGAAATTATCAACTCACTTAGTATCAGTTCAAATCCTATCGAAATTAGCAAGATATGTAATAAGTCTGATTAAACTTATGAGTGTTACATCTATATAAACAATTTATCAGTTTTCTTGAACTGCCACTTCATGGACACTATTACGCCAACTTTTCGGCGCATCCACAACTATGTCTTCCTTAAATGTCCTGTTTGATGCAATAGAATATAATCCTACACGGTTCATGATCCTGAATGTGACATATCTTTCATTATACACTGCCTTAAATTACTCAAGACAGTGAAGTAATTTAGATTAAGTCAAAACATCAAATCTTTCATTATTCAAAGTCCAAATTTCACTTACATTCCCATGTGGACCATATGTTCTTCATCTCTTTCAGAATCCTCCATATCTGCCAAAACAAAAATACATAAAATTAATATATAAATGAAGATAGCTGTCTTCTGGATTGTTGCGCCGTATAGTCTGGTAGATGTCCATCTACGTTTCAGAGGTCCATTCTGCCTCCATCATCTGGGCGATGAAAAATCCATGCGAGCGGAAAGTGCCAGGTTTTTAGGGAGTAAGGAGTAGCCTAAACCTAACCAGTGGGGAGTGGTGTCAGAATTAGGCAAGGGGGTGGGAACCAAGAGGAGTGTGTGGGCATGTCGTAGTGTGTGTAAGAGTCTCTTAGTCCCCACTGGTTAGGATTAGGATACTCCTTTCATTGCCCAGTCCCCAAAAACCTAGCACTTTCCGCTCCCATGGCTTTTTCATCGCCCTGATGATGGAGACAGCATGGACATCTGAAACGTTTGTGGACATCTACAAGACTACATGGTGCAACAACCCAGAAGACAGCAATCTTCAGACTCACCACCATGAAAACCTCAAATCATATATGAATATATAAATGCTGAATAAAAACTGATTGACTTTATCCACATATCTGCATAACGAGTAAGAACCAATAATGTCATGATTGCCTGTTTCCCTTCCTCAAGGAACAAGAATAGTTATAAAACCCCCATTTTAACAGATTGATTTCCACAAAATTTGGTATGAACATCAAGCCAGTCTAGGCCACCCCAATATTATACATTGACTGTACTTATCTTATTCTTATTTCATTGTCTAAATGATATTACCAAGACATGAGGCTAAACAATGACAGGTATAATTATCCAGCTAAGTTACCTGCTAAAAATAATGATATAAAGGTGACCCTGAAGATGGAAGTGATACGCTCCTCCAAACACTGGCAACCACATACAAGACTGCATGGTGTCACAACCCAGTATCCACAACTGATACAGTTTATAGTTATCAGCTGATCAAATAATACCCAATTTTGAAATGTTTACTACATAGGCCCAATTAAAAATTATTTTCAAAACGTTTTTGCAAACCTGACAAACAACAGGTAACAAGAACAATATTCACATTTAGGCTATAACACACTTGGATTATCTAAATTACAACAACTTATAAATCTTTGAAGGTGGCTGTCTTCTGGGTTGTGGCGCCGTGTAGCTTGGTAGAAGTTACCGACGTTGTAGAGGTGTCAGTAAGATTCTGTCAGACTACAAAGCACTATAACCCACAATGTGCTGCCGTGGGAACCTAAAATCCCACTTAAAACCTTCATTTATACCACATACACCAATGGCAGGATGCATCCATGATATTAACATTCCTGATCTGCTTAGTAATGAAAGTTATTATGCTATTAGGGAGTCCTGAACAAACAATGCAACGGTTTAACATATCAACAGACCACAATTATCTGCTGTTGAAGCAAAATAAAAATAGGTTATACAAATAAAATACAAAAGTACTAAATTATTTAAGTCACATACCAAATAATAACCACAACCACCAAAGTCAACGAATAAAACATCACATCTTCCCTAGCGTCAAATATCACACAATCAATCACGGCTTACTACATGTGCACAGAACTCCTAATGTCGTCCGCAATTACCGCCAAAAACAGTGGCTGTTATAATCAGACCACAGATGAAAAACCAGTCATCACATTTGCTTCTGTAGAAAATGAGGCTCTCAACGGCAGTATTTACGATGATGGTTGTGGTCTGGATTGTAGTGCCGTGTAGCCTGGAAGAAGTTTAACGACGTTTCAGAAGTACTAGCTGCCTCATCAAGACGATGATGTCTGCGGGAAAGAATTGTACTGCCGAGCCGGCGCAAGCAACTCCCACCCCAGAAGACGAGAAATCCCATCTTACCCCCAAAAGTCAAATACCTCGCAATTCAAAATTTTCTCAAAACGTCCTCACAATTAAGAACACGAAATTACAGACACTTAATTATTAAGCCAAGAGTCGTGAACAAATATATAATAAAAATATGGTGTTACCTGATAGCAGCTTGAGAGCTTATAGTGATAACTACTAGAGAGCTTGTAGTGAAATTAAAAGTAGAATGCTAAACAGTACTCATAATCGTTAGTTCTCACACACAGTGTGAGATACACGTTAGGTAAAGTGTTCATGTAAGTCTTTGTGCAATAACAATAGGATAAACATAATACAAGTCCGTTTTGGAATTCATTCATATTGATGAGATATTAGGTTCTCATGGGTGTCTTCTCGGGGTGTTTCGCCGTGTAGATACTGATCGACGTTTCAGAGATGCTCTTTACTCTGCTGAACTTCAACCATACTTCTTGAAATAATCTTTGGTAACTAGTGCTGCTATCTGACCGCGTTCCTCTTATTTATTAGCAGACGATGAATCAGATTCATATGACGTTACATGAGTGAGTAAGTGCTCTTGAATTCTTATTAATCTTGATAAATGATACATATTGAAATATTATCAACAGGTTCTGTGGTGAGTTATTAAGCGGTCTGTATATCGTGGCATTCATAATAACATTTCTTTGGCGAAAACGTTACTCTAACCCAGTTTACTTCTAGTCAAGTAATTTGTTTTTTTTACAAAAATCTCGCTACATATTTAGCGAAATAGGACCTTTAAAACGATGCTCTTGCAATGAAGCTGTTACGTTTGTTTCACCGAATACAATACCTGGGAATAGGCACTAAACATATAACCTCCACAGTAGATTTTCCTTCTCATGAATACTAGAAGAGTTATGTTAGTTATGAAGTTTTGTAATAACGTATTAGCCCGCAGTTTCTCAAAAAATCAGCGTTTTGCAGTAATTAAACTGGTGTAAAAATGTGATATTTTGTGTCTGTGTAAGCATATAACTAGTGTTTGCTTGGTGTAGATGATACAATTCCAATATTTTTCGTGAATGTAACATCAACTATTAGTTTTTAGTTTTGGTTTATCATATTGAATGTAGATTACAAACATATCATCTACTGTACTTGACAACTTTTATCTGAACATTTTAACTGCAGTCCTCAAGGTGTAGATGAAACTTAAAGACAGACAGAACTGAAATTTAATAGCAGAATTAAATTAATTTATGTTGACCTTCAAAATATATGGTTTGTGTGTGGAAAATACGAGATTAGCGGCTTCAAAGGATGTGGAGTGTGGTGTGTGACATTTATTTCTGAAAGGATTTTAAATCAACATTAAAGACATAAGTTTAAAATTCAGCATTGATGGAAATTATGGAAAGGACTCAGAAATGATGAATACCAATGAATTCTTTAATTACAAAGCCATACAAACTCCAGTTATTTCTTAATGTGTTTGACTGTTCCTCCTACCAACATCACATCACACAAATAAGAAGAACAGAATGTGTGTGAATGCGATTATCAGCAGTATTTGCTTAAATCTGGATAGAAATCATGTCTTTGTTATTGCTTTCCCTTCCAGAAAATGAGAGGATAATACCTTAAAGCATGACCACTTTCTGACTTGTCCTTCTCCTTGTACCGTGTCAACTTGACAGTGTGTGTGCGTCCACAGGTCAACCTTAAGAGGCCATTTTGTGTAATGTTTTTATGTACACAGTGAATCATTTTACCTGATGGAACATCCCTAATAGGTCCATTATAGAAGTTTCTACAATATTTTTAGTTTGTTTCTCACATTAAAAACAGATTCATATACATAATGACTGAAACTTTATTATTTCTTGATGCCATTTGTTAAAAAATGTAATTGTAAAATATGTATTACAGTTTGTGCCAGTTGTGATCTTAGCAGGTTGCTACCATACAAGATTGCTGCTTTTCATTTGATAGTACACAATCTCTGTCTCTCTGAAAATAATGTAAGAAACAAATAAGTAGAGCCTGGTCCAAAAAATTTGAAACACAAATGGAGTACTGTCAAGTTCTGTCCTTTGATAATTTGTCTGTGATTTACCACACACACACAGTCAGCTAGTTTCAGCATTTATTGTAGCCTTCTGGTAGTTACAAACATATCAGAGGTACCTGCTTCCTTCCACCTTGAAAATTTCAATCTGATAAAGATTCACTGAAACACCCATATTAAGTGAGAATATCTTTTCCAGAATTTGCAGTGTGTAAGTTTATCACTTCTGTGATTACTATTTCAGTGTCTTTTTGATTGCTGCTTTATAAGACAACCAAGTTTCTCGGTTGTGAAATCTGTTTTCAATTTGGTGAAGCAAAATGGCACGTCACTGAAATGTTATAAAAAAATTTAATAGCATTATTTCTGACTGTGCACTGAAACACTTATCTCATTCCTGGTACAATCTGATTCAAGAGTGCTTTGAATAAAATCTGCAGTGTGAAAGTTTATTCCCTTTTCCGCAAGATGCTCCCATCCACTTTGACGTTCACAGCGCATCGCGAGAAACAAAGAACTGGAGTACAGTAACCCAGGTCCCTAATACTGTATATTCATCAATGAATTTACTATATGAAGAGCCGATAACACCGGGCTCGCCGTAGAAATAGGCTTACATTTAATATCTTTTCTGTCCATCTACTGTTAAAAAACCCCATTCCCTATTTCCTACATGTGGCCGTAAGTTTTGGTTTGGGGTTCAATCATAAATTTTGAGGCCAAAAGAAAATTTGGGAAATACAGATTAAGTACAACTAAAGTAAATGACCACAGACTGGTATTCAAGGTTAACAATAAATGTTTGTTTTAAATTCTAGGCTGATGAGTTTAATGATTAGCCACCCATGTGATTTGCACCTTGGTTGCTGCCATGGCATCCTATGGGCCAGTAGAGGATCCTTTTGAAGATGACATAGTATTTGACCAAGCTGGATTACTTAACAGTGCAGCTAAAATGAACACTGCAATACGAAGGGTCTCTAGTGGCAAATGTGCACTGTTTGCAAAAACTCTAGGACTATGTGGAGCTTTTTTTGGCCTGGTAAGACTTGACTCGTGAAAAGTTATTTTCCTTCTTCTTCTTCTTCTATGGCGCAACAGCCCGAAGTCGAGCCTTGGCCTCTTCCTATGTGGGAGGGTTTCTTTTAAGACTTGAGGTTCTCACAGCGGTGAGTATGAAGATTTCCGTCTTCTTGGTTGTTGCGCTGTGTAGTCTGGTCGATGTTAACCAACGTTTCAGAGGTCATACTGCCTCCGTCATCAGGGCGATGACGGAGGCAGTATGACCTCTGGAACGTTGGTTAACATCGACCAGACTACACAGCGCAACAACCCAGAAGACGGAAATCTTCAGGGTTTCTTTTGTTTTTGAAGTGTGCATCTCTGAGTGGTGAGTGATCAGCCCACTGCATCTGCACAGTTTCCCCTCAATCCTGATTAGTCTGTCAGAGCCATCTGGTAGTGAATCAGGAGAGACTTGGGTAAGAAATGGCCACTGAATTTTGCTTACGAAACATCTCGTTCATGCCGTAAATCTACGACATGGGACCGCCAGCTTTACTTACCCTCCGAAGGAAGTTGTGCTACAGATTTTTATCACCCTTAAAAATGCATCGGTCTCGGCTGGGTCTGAACCCTCGAACCTCGGGTCCAGTGGCGAGCGGTCTAACCACTAATGCACCGAGGGCAACTTCATGAAAAATGTACTGGGATTCAAAACTATCCCACCTACTTTCAGTAGGCCTGATCTCATTGTGACTTTCTCCACTCACGTCTCCCTCCTTGATGATGATAAGCCAACATGCAACAGTCATGCAACTATTTTCACTTATAAACAGTTTATTTTTCTGTCCTAGCACCCTAACAATCATAATCTTCTTAAAAATGAGAATTACATAACTTAGTACCATTTCATATTGATACACATTAGTCTGACCTGAAATTAGATATAAAGTAGTAAGGCACTTACAACCTTCAAATTAAGTGTTACATGAAGCATTATTCTACACTTTTTCATTTTAAATGTATTATTTCAGGGATTATGCATAGCTATTCCTGGTCCAGCTTTTCTGTCACCAATAACAGAACTGCAAGCAGATAAATCACCGGTTTCAAGAATTTATGCTGCGAGATCTTCTGGTTACTTGATTGGCTCAATTATAGGTATATACAGTTTGTCAACATATAGTCACTAAACCTGTTATATAATTTTGAGGATAAGACTTGTTTCTCTCTATTGTAAAAATATAACGTCAAGGGTTCATGATACGACATGCAACGTTTCATCACAAAATGAAGTTCAAAATACCCAGATGTTAATTATCTACCACCATACGAGACATCGTGTTCAGATGCTAACATTTCCATAGTGTCTCTTGACTGTACACAATATGCCAATAAACTGAATCAACACTGTAAATGCTGCTATGTCATACTTAATTTTAGGTAGAGACAAGAAATGAGTGATAAAAGATTCTAAAATTATTTATAAACTGCTCTCCTGACTATATTTATAAATTTTGGGCCAAAGAGATTTATAAGATATTGTAGGTGCGTCATATTGTGATTTTATTTAAAAATAGTATTAAAATATATTAAAATTGTCCGTCAATCACAATAAAGTAATATAAGATAATTAAATGGTTAAAATATTATCCTTTGTTCCGTATCGAGTACTCGATTTACATATGGAACATTTTCGACATGTTTCGGCTTTCGTAGAGCCGTCATCAGGTGTATGTTATAAACTCTTTATTCAATTGCTAATTTTTAATTTTCTTGTCATTTTCTTCGTTTTTCCGCCTTTCACCCACTAACACCGCAGTCAGTAACCAACCTCGCTCCGATACGATGTACTTCTGATCTCTCCTCTTACAACTTCGATATTACTTCTCTGACCAATATACGCAGCATTAACATCACTCTCTCTATGAAAGCCGAAACATGTCGAGAATGTTCCATATGTAAATCGAGTACTCGATACGGAACAAAGGATAATATTTTAACCATTTAATTATCTTATATTACTTTATTGTGATTGACGGACAATTTTAATATATTTTAATACTATTTTTAAAGATTTTTATGTTGCATTTTGTAGTAATGTTGCTGTCCTGTGAACTTGGTGCTGGCAGCAGAAATGTTCATCTTCTTTACGCAGGACTCCTTAATGGCATTATGTGTCTCAGCGGTTACTCTGGAGACTACCCCCGCGGCTACCGAGATTGTTTTGGGACGTTTGAATAAGCTTATACTAAAGAAATTATTAATGGATTCGTATATGGTCACTCACCAAGAGTTTTAACAGCAACACAGTTTTAACTAAACTGATTTTGTTGTTGTTATTGTTATTATCCAATCTCTTCACCACTTTATGGGGTCTGTACTTCCATGTACCCGAGACAGACCTTGTCCCTAAGGTACATAGGGCAGCAGCTATTTCTGGGATAAATATTGTTTTTAGCAAGTGCAACATGTATTATATAATTTCATTTTATGAAAGCGTCTTTCGGATGATGTATTCAGTCCCCAAAATGGCGGTCTTCTGCAGTTATTATTATTATTATTATTATTCACATTTGCAGGCGGAATCTTGTTTGATCACTTCAACCGACTGTTCCTTCTCTTCGTTAGTCTCCTTCTGACAGCTATATTTATCACAGCCACCCCTTGGTGTAATGTATTGTGGCTGCTCGAGGCATGCATGGTGTTCCTTGGTATGACAATGGGCTTTCTGGACACAGGTAATAAAAGTCTAAACTGAGGAATGAATGGCTTAAATATCAGTTTAATCTTTGTTACAAGAAAATTGTTCCCCATCTTACTAGTGTGACAATGTCAGAAATCAGTATTCTATGCCGTCTCCCAGAAGTCTGTATAAATATTAGTACTGACGCTATGGAAGAGATCATGCCAGAACTTGCACAGTCATCGTGGCTGTGCCATCATAAGGCATGATTCAGAGACGAACACATATATCGCTGGGCCACGTGTAACGGGCAGGAAAAGAAAAATTTTCAGGAGAAAAAACAAATACAGGATTCGAAATAAAATACTGAAAAATAGCATAACATTTTATGTTCTGTCAGCATAACCAGAATTTTGAAATTCTTTGCAAACATTTTTGTTGAAGATGGCTGTCTTCTGGTTTGTTGCACCATGTGGTCTGGTAGAAGTCGACTGTTTACCAACTCATCACCCTGACGATAAAGAATAAAAGCACCTCTAAAACGTCTGCCGCACTACATGTCGCCACAACCCAGAAGACAGAAATGTTCATGTTTGCTGCTATGAGAACCTGAGATCTCACATTTATTAATATAATTATTAAACTGTTCTGTGAAGATTAACTTTTCATTACTCCTGGAGGCTTCGCAGTAGTGGATAAATAAAGTTTGTTATTGTTTCTCGAAATTACTATCCTAATCAACAAGTTTGTTCTATCATGTTGGTCAATTCCTCATTATGATGAAAATCTGTTCGAAATGAATTTCAAAATGGCATATCACACATACTGTGAATTTCTTCAGGGATTCATATGTTCAGATCT